AACGTAACCTCCCCCCCCCCCAAAAGACACACACACACACACACACACACAGCCTAAGGGTCACCCCCGCAACACCCCCCGATCAGGGGGCACACTCTGCGCGTGCACCTCCCTCTTGCAACACACACACACACACACACACACACACACACACACACACACACACCCCCCTTCCTTCATAAGCTGGTCTGGAGATCTGGGTCCAGTCCCTGACTCTGTCACAGAGTTTCTATGTGACCTCAGGAACATCAGTTATGGTCATGCCTCACTACATGTCTGAACAACAACTAGAATTATGGGAGCCAAACTCAGATGGGTTCTCCAGGTACTGCTATAATGAAAATACTAAGTAAAAGAATCTTCCAGTTCTCCTTTCTTCAGAAGTCAACGGCTCTGAAGTGTTCATTCTCTATATGCCTGTCTCATCTGAGGATCTGATAAGAGGAGGAACAACTCTTGGTCCAAATTCTGTCCGTGAATAACTGATGGGTAGCTGTGTAAATAATGTCATGTTATAAAGCGTGTGCGTGTGCGTGTGCGTGCAGGTGTCTACACGTTGCGGGTATGCACATGTGTGCCCGTGTGTGTGTACTATGTGTGTGCGCGCGCGCGCGTATGCAATCTGCCAGGTTATAAAGTATAATCTGTTACATATGCATGGGTGCACATGTGTGCATGCCTATGTATATCTGTATGCACGGTGTGTGTATGCATATGTATGGGGGGGTGTGCACACATCATGTGTTACATGATAAAGTGCGCGCGCGCACGTGTGTGTGTGTGTGTGTGTGTGTGTGTGTGTGTGGATGCACGTACACGCCGTACGAGGGACGGAAGATGCTCATGAATACAGGAGGGGGAAAAAAGGGCCCTGTTTTTCCCTCCTCCTCTGCCGTGCGGATCCTAATGCGGCGCCGGGGTCCCCGGTGCGTCCCCCACCTATGGAGTTGTTACACGTTTTCAAGCACTGACTTGATAGCTGTTTGGCTCTCTGGATAGCTGGGTACTCATTTTGTATCACACGATTGTGGCTTTGCACTTGCTTACGGCCTAAATTAATTGCAGAATTCGCCACTCGATTCTACGATAATCGCTTTACTCTCGTGGCTGGTCTTTGCATGTAAAGCCGATCGAAATTTGGGGCACGATTCACCAGTTAATCGCATCATCTATGTAACCGTGCGGGGACCACGTGGATAAACACTCCCTCCACTTTGCAGCGCACCGTAGGTGGGCGGGTGTGCGATACCGGTGCACCCATTGCAACAAGATCAGCAAGAGCAAGCAGAGCATCCTCTGCCACACTCCCTGGTGCAAAGGGAGTACCGGGAAGGACTGGGCGTGCATGCTAAAGTCGTGACCTACTCGCACAAGTTAAAATACAGAATACGGATGCAAACTGCATAATGCACGAGGATGCGAGTTCACGGCTAGGCCATCTGGGAAGGAATAATGAAGCATCTCTCCCAGCTTATCTTGCTATGTTCAGGATGATTTCAGGCAGGCTCACAGCACAGTTGTCCGGTGTATAACCATGTAAAATGTCTATTTTTGATTCATTAGTATGGCAAATATTTATTTTGCGATTAACTCGCGTTTAGGTGTAGGAAGAGACATTCTCCGCATGCGATAGATGTCTCCTCCTGGTTTAGTCCGAGGACACGTATCTTAATATGTTCCAAACTGGACCATTGTTACTCATTCAAATTAGACATTTCTGATAACCAGTGATGAGCAGGTTAATTAACAGGATTTCCCCATCAAGTACTGCTTGGGACTTCCTTGATTTACACAACTAAAAAAAATGCTTTGAAGAAGCTACGCTAAGGGTATAAAAAGGCAATAAAACAGCAAATAGCACACGCTTGAAGAGTGAGAAATCTCTCCGACACCAGTTGCTGATGCGCCCGACTTACTCGAGAAGTTGACAAAAAGCAGACCGCCCGTTTGGTGAGAAATCATCACCTTATGGCTAATTACTGGACTTTGATTTGGTCTGGGCTCGCTTGACTTGATTTTAAATACTTGTAGTAAATGTAGCCTTTCTGTCACTCGTCGAACGGGGTGTCGTGTCAATCCCTGGGCTAGTCCGGGATCCTAGGTTGCTATTAGCTAACACAAGGTAAGGGATGTCTTGGGCGCATGGGTGGATTCGTGCCCGGGTCGACTCCGTCTCCCTTGATGTTTTGGCTTCGTTCTCGGGAGTGCCCCCAGCACGGCAGAAGGCCCTGAGCAAGAAGGGAGGGTGGCAAGCAAACGCCCCGGATGAACAAAAGTGCTGTCAAACGGGGCACGTTCCTTCGGTACCAGCATCCATTTGGTGCCAGCAGGAAGCTCCTCGATGGCGTCGAACGTAATCAGCGCACCCTCCCGCACGAGGAGGTCTTCCAGACCTGCCGAGGAAAGTGGGAGACTTTGAGAAGCTGGAGCAGCCGGGCACCTGGCATCCCATCACTATCGGGGCCGTCGTGCTGAGGCTGTTTTCACGTGGCATGCCCCGTCAGCGCCCGCCGGAGGGGTTTCATGGAGGCACCCGGGTGTGCCGAGAACCTGAAAGTGCTTGAGCTCACCTTGCATACGGTGAAGCGAGACAGGCAGCCGCTGGGGGTA